TGGAAGAACCGCAACTTTTTTCAGTGATGCACCCTAATCTACATACTTATTTGTTTTAAAACTTTACTCTTTTACCTAAATTCGTCCACCTCCCGCCCCGCAGCCGCTTTCAGACTTTCAAATTCCTTGACATGATTGCAAGCAGGATTATCCTTCATTTTATCAAAGGAGAGATGGTCAACCAGCTGCAATAGTTGTTCATCGCTTACTTCACGCTCCAAAAATTGGCACACATCTTTAATAACGCCAGCCAAGTCACGTTTCATGCGCTCATAACTGGTGAAGAAGATCTCCGATTGATTGCGCAGCTGCCAAAAGTCAAGCACATGCGGCCAAAAGGGATTGAAATTAACATAGCCATCAATGTAGGAATGCATGAAATCCTCCTTTGTGCCTTTGTAGCCGACCATGCCGCGCCAATGATGAAAATATGAGATGGCTGCATCTTTTGGATTGCGGAAGACGTAAATGATCTGGCATGCAAGTGGGGTGAATACAAATGTTTGTAATTTCTATTTCTTGCATTTTTTTCGCTATTACCTTTGGCTTCTTGGTCCACACTTGTTTCGGCAACAGCCAGGCGGGCAGGTGTGATTTTATTAAACGCGGTGAGTGCAACTGATTGGCAGCCTTAATTGTGTCATGCGGCACATTCGGTGCTACACCATTGAATCTGTTAGGGCAATAGGAATATTAGAAAATGTTGAGCCAGGGACTACTTCATTTTTTTATTTCCTTACTCCAAAAATGGCGAACGTATAGTAAGATCCTCTGATTTCGCCTTTTCAAAATCAAAATTGTTCAATATCAGCCAAGTCATCTCCTGTGCCCAAGTGGTGCCGCATTTCGTGCTAGTCACAATCCAGACATCATCTTCGCGCACTTCGAAATTATATACGCGATCCAAAACGGGCTGAAAGGTATCGGCTAACGAGCAATAGCGATTCTGCCAATCTCCTACGATATCAACGCTGGGCTTTGTAATTGCATAGATCGATGAATAGCCGCCGCTGATGGCTAGTTTTTCGATTTGTTCGAAAGGCACGCTTTCTGCGTAAAATGTGGCATTAGGCATCTGAAGTGAACAAGTAAAAAAGTTTCATTTTAATATGGAATAATATACATATGTACATATGTATATGATTTTCGCGAATTTTTCAAAATTTCGGTTGGGTTCCAATCGGAAAAATGTCTCGGCTACGTGGCAAACTCTTAAGAGGATCTTTTAAAAGTAGTGGTAGTATCGAGCCCTAACCGCCAAAAAGAGGTAAGCGACATTTATTTTTTTAATTTGTTTTTGTTTTTTTTTAATGCAGAAATGCATCTCTAGGAATATTTTTGCATCAATAATAAAATTTCGAAAAAATGTCGCATACATCTTATTGGCGGTTAGGGTCGGTATGTTTAATGGGTCGGTAAAATTCATTTCGTCATCGAGAAATGGCTTCACATTTTCACTACGATTGCGATTTTTAACCGACTTCCAAAAAAGGAGGAGGTTATCAGTTCGCTGGAATATTTTTTGTTATTTTTTATTTATTTTTATGTATGTTACCGCATAACTTTGGACCACGTCAACCGATTTCCATAATTCTTTTTGCATCGGAAAGCTACTGTCTCAGAGGTGGTCCCATACTAAGATCCGATCAGTGGATCATGAGATATATATATTTTTTATGAGAGTTGAAGTCGGTTTTTCTTTAGCTAAAAATTACTTGTAATATGGACAATTTGTGAACAGGATATTAATGAAAATAACGAAAATTGTTTAAAATATTGATGTAAGTAAGGCTTTTTCCAGTAAACCACCTTTCGTGTCACATACATTTTATGTTAAGAGACTTATATCCGGGTTACTTATGTTCATGTTTAGATGATTCCACTTCATCGTCCCGTACCCGCCGGCTGGTGTAAAGGCTTGAGGAGTTGTTGAGCGCTTCCACGTGAATTCTAATAGGAGAATTGCCTGTTTGACTAGATTGCCTCCAGCAAGGAGCGCTATGATTTATTTAAGCGTAAGAGTTCCCTGTTTCAGAAGAATCTCACCAACTACGTAGCCAACTAACATTTTCAAACTAAGATTTTCACTCATCGATCGATGGATGGATTAAAAGGCAATTTGTACAAAAGCAGACCACATGTGCCCTGAGGAGTTTCTCCACTCTCCCAACTCGTGCTCAAGAGCGCTAGTCTTACTAAAAGAGATAGAGATATTGTATATTTAGAATTCCTGAGGGGCCTTTCTTGGAAGTTCACTTGTTGCCGTATTATTCATTTATTGGCCGTAAGCCTTTACCCGCAGCATTACCTTCGAACGAAGGGAGACCACATGAATAAACAGCATCCAGAGAAGCGAACAAAGAATGCCTTACAGAGAAACTAATGTAGAATGTCTACATATTTAATTAAACTCAAAATTGTACTTCCTCCTTCACTTCATTGACTGACTGCAACTTCACTGTAAATTAAACAAAGCAAAACATGATTTTTATGCGATGGAATTTTCCACAGAAAGTAACGGTAGAAAAGAATTTTTGGGTATTCATTCTATTTTTCAGCTGACTACATTGAAGCATTCTACTTTGCATTCCCCGTAATGAATCAAAGCAGCGAAATTAATAAAATATTGTAGAACATTCTGCTATGCATTACCGGCGATGCCTAAAAGAAGCGAAAAGAACACGTTACCACTAAAAGCGATTACCGATATCTTGCTAGATCTGGTGCTACGCGATTTTCAAGCGCAAAAGTTACGAATACATTCAAACGTCCTATACGGATACACCTTTTATTCTGCTGTTGTTCTGCTAGTTTTTATCCAGTGTGAAATCGTGAGAATAGTTGTTCTGTCATTCTAGTGTGAAACAGCCCATTAGCAACACAGTTTAAAACAAAGTTTTCTCTAAAACTCATCGTTATATAAACATAAGCCTAAACAACAACCTCCTCTTCAAAGTCTCCAGTAGATCTCTGACGACAATGACCCAAAATAGTAGTAAGAGAACACCCCCTTGTGAATAGGGTACCTCTCAATAAAATCAATAAAGTGTTGCCAGGAGTATAGAGGCGCTGTTTCAGAACTTAATCATGCAATTGTCCGTAGGGCCTGGATCTTATCCCTGATCCGAGCAACAACTAAATTAGAAAAAGTTTTTTCTAACAGATAGCGGCCGCTCCTGGCAGCCATTCGGAGGCGGTGTTATAACCCTCAGGACGCCCACTGCACTTAGTATAAGCGCCAAAATAAATATTTTTACTATTATTAAATATTTATATATGTAGGATTTGCATATATTTTTTTGTAAAATATTAACAAGTATTTAAGGTTAAAAATTCGCAACATTTGATGCATCTGACATTGAATGATTACTTTAACAGCACAAATTATTTACCACTTAAATGGTATAACGTTTTTACCCTTGGATTTTCTATTGCAAATTTGTACATGTGTAAGGCATTAAACTCCAAAAAAGGCAGTCAAATTTAACACGTTTTCAAATTTTCTAGTGCAGCATTGGAGAATCGAATGTCTTGTGAATTAGATAAATGTATACAAATTACTTGGTAATGAAGAGTGTGTTCGTCCTTAACCCACCAAGGCTTACGTTGCTGATATTATGAACCAACCAGATGATAACTGCACAAAATCAACAAAAAAAAAAACTCTAACTTGATTGCATTCTACAAGTTGTATTTGTTATAGCTTTATTTTTAGTTGCGTAAAATGATAAATTATTATATGCACACAGCTCATGCGCGCATTGCATTAAAATTCATTCAAATGACAAGGCTTACTTTTACAAATTTCGATGCGTGCACTTATTTATACGCTAAATGTGTATTTGTCGAAGCTGTACAAAATACATATATGTACCGCAAATAATCAGCTTTTACGCGAAACTTTTGCGGCAGCAGTTTACTGCAAACAAACCGTACGCGACCACTGCAATTACGAACTGAATTCCAAGTTTTCAAACGCTATAAGACCAAGCAGTATGCTAAGAGGCAGCGAAAAAAAGTAAATAAACAAAAAATATATATAAAAAAAAAATTGTTCATAAATATTTACATACATACATACATATAAAGCAATCAAGAGCTGTGTTGCCACAAATTATTTTTATTTTTTATCAAAATCACAGGAAAAAGTTACCGAATTCAACAAAAATTACCAAACTTATTTTATGTGAAGAACTGTACAAACATATATATCGATGCCTTTCTGCATCAAAAAGAAAATTTTGCAAAAAAATGTCGCTTACGTTATTTTGGCAGTTAGGGCTCGATATGTCTGTACATATCGTTACCTTAATATAGAAAGGATATATTTCACGATTACCTGGTTTTTCTATAAAAGGAAACGCATACGGGTCACTTACTGCTGTGGAACCAGAACCAATATTGACCTATTTGACATGTAAGACCGAAGAGAAAAAGTTACTAAATTGAAAAATAAATTACCAAATTAGATAAATAAAGAAAAAATTACCAATTTTGGTTAAAAATTACCAAAGCGGCAACGCTGATGAAGAGCGTGAAATACTTAATCTCAAACACCGGCAATTATGCAGCCAAAGCTAATGTGGGAGGGTAAGGAACGCCGGCACCGACAGCAGCGATAACCAAGTACATACCAGTGATGAAATTGATGGTACAATTGTACTTTTTAGGTACATTTTGAATCTCAAAAGTACATTGGTACTACATCGACATTTTTGGTACAATTTTGTCAAAATACGGCACGGCGCCAAATTCTGTCGAAATAATATAAACCGTAGGAAGGACTAAATATTTTGCACAATATTTTTCTGAAACTTCGATTGCATTGAATTCAATTCTTTTTTGTAAAGATTTGTGTTACTTGCACTTCATAAACATACTTGAATGCTTTTGTTGCTTGCCTTGATATATTTGTATTGGAAACTTAGAGTACAACTTCACAAAATGATTTTCATGCGTCCAGAATTGTATTCTTAGGGTTTTGATGGCCCTTTTAAACTACCCTGCAGAAAATGGGACTAGTCTGTAGCTAACTATTAACTAAGTAGCAGTCGACTGTGGTAACTATTTGTTAACTATTTCCTTTGGCCGTTACTAACTACTTTTGAAGGGCGATGGCCGAAAAATAGTTAGAACTGGTTTCCTCTGAATTAGATGTCGACTAACTTATAGCTAACTACTTTTGGACATGAAATATCAATAAAAATTTTTCTTTTTTAATTTTTTATATTTTTATTTATTTACTTATTTTATTTAACATTACATATTGGCTTATTTGTTTAAATGTTCTTTTTAGGTGATCTCATAATTGAATTCGATCAGACATAACATCAAAATGGTAATATAAAATTTCGACCTTTCATTTATTTAACCTAAATACGAAAAAGAATCTGCGAAGTGCAGAAAAATAATGTATTGAAAGTAATTTTTGTATGAAGATATTTAAATAGCAACTTGTAAAGAAAACAAACTCACGATAACGTCTGCGTCATGCAGACATGTATGCATGCTTTTCAATTTTACAACTTACTTAAAGTTAGTTTTGTCGTAGCTAATTAAATATTAGTTATTTATCGAAATCCCACAAAAAAGCTAACTGGAAGTTGATTATTTTAATCAGTTGATGATTTTTTTATGAAGGGTAGTTATTCAAGGTCATCGATGATATTCAGCCTGACTGCATGCTTACCTATCACGCAATGACCAGTTAGAACTTCCACCAGGAGTGAGAAGTGTAACTTGCTTAGTCTCACGAGCTCCCTGGACCGCCCTCGGTCTACACGTGACCAGAAGGACGTAGCCTTAGCTGGCTACACGCCCATCTGTCCAAACGTAGACCGCAAGAGGTTAGGGGAGTACCCAGACCTTGAGCAATTTCTCAAGTGTTCCCTGTATTGTAGAGGTAATACACTAGAGAGCAAACAATCCGAAGCCTCCTGTATTGCGGCTACCTCTGCTTGGAAAACGCTACAGTGATCCGGAGGCCTGAATTTTTTTTGAATGAAAACAAAAATTTCATCAAATATTCGGATAGCTTGAAGGTTTCTGCAAACTTTCTGTTCGCATACTATACTGGATATTTTTCTCTTGTTAGAGAACAGATTTCACCATTTCACAGGAATTTTGTTGCTGGGTGAGTTTTACTGGAGATTTTAAACGAACGTACTTATAGAGAAATTTACCTAATTTAAAAACATATACATATGTTGGTACTTTTTCAACTGATTTGGTACATTATTTTTTGCCATTTGGTACAAAATTTAAAAACGCATTTATCATCCCTGGTACATACATATATATTTCTCTGCATAAATTTTAGAGTATCTATATAATTAAAGCAATATGAATCTAGCGCTCTCAATCAATTTTTTTTTGCGCTAATTGGTTACACATACATATGTACATTTATATTAACATATGTATAAGATTGCGTTTGCCCCTGTTTAATTGCGGTTTGAATTCTTAATAAATAAATTAAATAAAACTTTTTAATATACCACGGTTTTATAATTGGACTAAAAATTAGAAAAGAACATTTCTCAGTCCCATAGAAAATGTTTTGATAGCTTTTGATTTTGAAATTTTAGCAAACGAAGAACTTTCGTTTAAAAGATTGTGATTTTTGAGTAGTGCCTTTATTATCGGCTGAGATTTATATCTCTTAGAAATATGGTGGAAATAAAGGAAAATTGTGTTCTTCTTGTTTTTATTGGCACTGCAACCGTTGGACGCATTGGCCCGACACTAAAAATCCCTAGAACCCTATATTTCATCGTCGACCAGTTGCCGAATCGAAAAACCCAAGAGAAATGTTTGTCCAATTCAGCAGAATCCCTGTGTTTCAATGCATTTCACTATGTACATACATATGTATATACGATCCGGTGGATTCTCGGAGAGTGTAGGCTATTCAATTATCTACATAAAGTCCTTTACTACTGCAAAGCTAGAAGAGTCACCTGTGTCCCAAGGTTAGCTGCTACAGATTACTTTGTATTAAACTCTTTCCACCTATTTAACTTCACTGGCGGTCCGGGTAATCGATTGAGGAAATTGCTCGAAAGTGTAATGTCTCATCTAGAACCTCATTTAACCTATAAAGGCGTCCGAAAGTATTTCCCAATTCCGACGGAACTGAAAGTTCTGTCCAACGTCTCCCCAATAGCGATGCCAGATCGAAATAAAAAGAATCGATTTTTGAATCGATACGAATCGAAATAAAAATAATTGATGCAGGAAGAAATCGTCAAAAAATAAATCGATCCCCCAATTTAGATTCATTTATATTGTCAAATAACGTCTTTTACTTAATTTTTATAATGAAACGAAATAAAACATACACACATTTTCATAACGGTTTTAATATCCACATTTATTCAAAAGCTATCAAGTTGCTAACAACCCGTAAATACGTTTGGAAAAAACCAAAAATGTGAGATAAGTTTTTTCTATATTAAGACAACAATATGATGATTCAACAGAAACTTAATGAATTATTAAACCTGATTTCCACCAGGCATTGAAATGACAAAAATTTATGCAATTTAAAAAATGCCGCGTGATAATAAAAACAACTCACGGGTAGTGTTTAATGCACAAAATAGTCATTACAATTTTTGTCATTTAATGGCAAGTGGAAATTCAGGATTAGCCCTACTAAGAATAAATAATATAAAAAAACTTTTTAATATACAACGCTTTTATAAATGGACTAAAAAGTAGAAAATAATATTTCTCAGTCCCATAGAATTTGTTTTGATAACTTTTGATTTTGAAATTTTAGCAAAAGTCATTATAAACAATCTATGAAATTGAAAATGAAAAACGTGATTGACAATAGTCAAACTACATAACGTAGACCTAAAATTTCTACAGCGAAAGTAGAACTTTGAAATCGATTTTAAGCGGTCATTATTCATATACCCACATACATACATACATATATTACTTTTCATATCAATTCAAGTGTATTACATGCGCCCCACGCTTTTAATTTTCAATTTCATAGATTGTTTATAATGACTTTTGCTAAAATTTCAAAATCAAAAGTTATCAAAACAAATTCTATGGGACTGAGAAATATTATTTTCTACTTTTTAGTCCATTTATAAAAGCGTTGTATATTAAAAAGTTTTTTATATTATTTATTTTCTACTTTTTAGTCCTGTCTGAATAAAATTTTGCAATAGATATTAAAATAATTCAACGATATTAATATAAAGGTGCACACACATGCATTTACATATGTATGTACATACAAACGAGCACCAATTAATTTTATTTAAAGAAATGGCGTGTCGTCTATTTCCGCTGTAGCAAACGTAGTACATAGGGTGACATCTAGATGTCATCTACCTCGCCCTATTCACTACAGATGTCGCCCTATGCACTATGCTTTTTTATAGGTAATTTTCAAAGCAAAGCTTTATGGTGTCGGACACACAACATTGAAAGTTTCTGGATCCACAACATTGAAAGTTTCTGGACACACAACATTGCAAGTTGATAAAAGCGTTGTAATTGTAAAATGGTACAAACTTTTCGATTACAAAGAAAAAAAAAATTTCTTTTACTTCAAAATTAATTTTTTTAAGAAGTGTATTATAGTTATACAATGGAGCCTACGTACATAGATTTTTTTGCAATACTGGCATTTTTTAATATTTTTTTTTGTTTTCGCTAACTCTATATTTCACTTCTTAATTACCCTTTTTAGAAAAAATTTGCTACAAAATTTTCGTTTCGAATTTTCACCATGAAAATTGATAAATTTTTGAACAAAATTCCTGTAGAAATCATAGTTTTAGATTTTTTACCCCATTTTCTGTCCGCCTCCCAGCTAGTCGAAAATTATTGCCCAATATGTATGTATGTATGTAGTGGAAACACTGTGCGGCGCAACGCTCATATCCGCTCTTTGGTCGCTAACTTCCATCGGTGAGTGCGCCGGCCTATTATGTAATTATAGCTCCCAGGCTATTCTGTACATACAATT